CTACAAAAAGAAGGCAGGGACAATTATACACACTAAACAGAACGCAAACTACGGGAGAGTGGGTCAATTTAAAAGTATAAATCAAATTATCCTTATGTAATGATTTCTAGTGGCTCTCATTCAGATATATTTTTCATAACTTCAAGTGTTAATAACTATACACTTCTATTTTATAAAAGTAGCTATATTACTTTTATAAAATAAGCTAAACATTTTTAATTTCTCAAATTAAATTTAAAAATTAAATTTGTAAATGATATATAAAGGTTGCCCTGATATAAAGGAAAAGCAGTAACATGGTGATTTCAGATTCAGGTATTTCAAAAAATTTAGGCAATAAAATAAATACAAAAAGCAAAGATTAGTTACCTCTAAAAGTGTTCTTATGGTAAAATAGAAAAGAATTCCTATGCATGAATTCTAAAATCATAGTTAACTTTACAGTTCATCAATTGGATATACCTTGCCCTCACATTTAACTTATTTGTAAATACTTTTTCAGGGCTACCTAAACACTTACTAATTGGTTAAACATGTTGCCTATATTAATTCCTGTTAAAGAAATTAGAGGTTCACTTTTGTCATTTGCTAGTGATGATATACTTTTAAAATATTCATTGTTTTAGAAAAGGTGTTTATCAGGTTCTTGAAACATTTTAAAAATGGTTCAAGGGATAATGTATAGCCCTTTCACCTTGAAAATGTTCACTATCTTAGATTTTGCTGGACAGATTCAGTTTTCTCCTTGTGAAACTCTTTTCTCACTTAAATAACTAAGGAATCTAAGATGTTATTAATATAAACAGAACAAATTTATATTTATTCTTATACATCTGCAAACACATCAAAAAGAACATGTACTTTAGACAGCATAAGTAAAGTTATTCATTAAAACTTTTTTCTTGATTGTGTATTTGTGTGTGTATATGATAAATTTTCACATTATTTTAATTTCCCAAATAATGGGATTCTAAATAAAAGATGTCAAAACATTCCCAGAAAGATGATCAGTTTGATTACACAGTTCAAGAGGTAAAATGACTACTGTAACAAAACTTCAAAGATGAATATAGAAAAATGTTTTAGTTGCCTGGCTTTTGAAATCTCAGTTAAGAGAGAAACATAGCATTTAATTTAGAGAACAACAATTTAATCCTTAGAAAGATAAATTTCCACAATGCCAAACCAAAATGTATATAGTAACAACCAGGATTATATTAAAAATGAAGGAAAAGTCCTCATATTATATTGATACCAAAACATGAAAAGGATCATTAAAAATTTTAAACTATATTGATAAAAGCAAATTCACTAATAAATCTAGGTGTAAAATGTCTGCTTATTAAAATATTTAGGTTATAATAAACATACATAGAATATTATCAGTATTACCCGCACTTACAAATCATCTTCCACAACCACTGAATTCTTTATACAATTTAAGCATATAAAATTAAGCATATAAATTTTAAATAAGAATCTCTATGAGGTTTCTCTAATTCTAATGGAAATAAAAATATGGACTATACAATATCCCTAGATTAATTCTGTAAATTGGTATAATTTAATAGTAGCTTCAAACAAAGGCTGCTCAACACATAGTATTTCTAAGGCATCAAAAACCCTTAATTCAAACAATTCAAATTAGATACTGTGCCCTACCTTACCTAAATTGGACTCCCTAAGGAATTACAGATTTTATATTTGTGCAGTCTGACTGCATTTTCTAATTCAGACAAGTAGCTAGTTGTGTAAAACCCAAAGATAAAGTTTTATAACACACTATGTAAGAAAGAAAAAAAATCACAATACCAGCACTTTTATTTTAGGTTGATAACAGACCAATCATAACTTGAAGCATCTCAACAACCTAAATAACTCAACGTTCTAATACAACTGGAAGAAATACTTTCCCTTCACTTTTATAGAGGCTGAATTGTTGATATTAGCATCTGATTTGTCCAAGTGGCAACTACTCAAGACCTAAAAGTCTCGATAATTTTAAACACAAAGAATAATCCTGACTATAGCTAATAAAATTGTCTTGAGCCTCCAAACAATGAAAATGCAAGATAAAACCAAAGGGTTTTGCAAGTATTGGTGGGATTCTGAAACCTCTGGACCGAAGATTACGTGGCGAGTTCCTCTCTTTTCAATTAATAGATTAAGAATTTTATCTAATCAATTTTGATTTAGCAGTGGTTCATGGCATAATTTTTTTAAATGAATTCTTAGAAAGTTGTAATTGTTTCCAAAATGAGAAACCACAAGATGATGTATTCCAATACTTCAGATGTAATGTGGTTATGGAGATATTTACAAAAAAGCACAAAGAGCTCAATTATGAACACAAGTTACCATACAATAGACTATAAAATACTGATTTATTTATACAGTATGGCAAAAGAACTCCATTCCATACAAGAAGCTTAACAATTCAGCTCCAACTTTAATCCATTTCTATAAATCATAAAAACAAAGGAAAATAGAGGTTTATTTCAGAAACACCATAAACCTGTGGAAAAGTAACACAAGTAATTTCTAGTCAAGATTAACCTTGATCCCAATAGAGAACAGCTAACAACTTATACAGCACATTTTAAATTTGGAAAATACTATAGATATTTAAAACATAACATAGCTGATAGTTGTTTATGATGCGTAACATTTCCTGTTAAATAATACAAATAAATTCAAAAGATGCAAACTGACAGGTCTCAGGATTTTAAAATATTTTCAATTCAAAGGCAAGAAATTACAGCATAAGAATAGGCTGGACTTTAAAAATGAATATATATGTAAAGTTTTCCGTGGTGTTGGTGTGTCGTCTCCCCGCCCCGCCACAATGACTACTGCTTATACTGTGAAAGAATCTTCATCACTGTTTTTAATTTCCAACCAGAAGTCCTCAATGTACTTAAAGCCAAATTGATTATTAGGTATTTTATAGCTTTTACAAAATGGCTGTAAAATCACATTGTGGGCATGCATAACTCTTTGATCTCACCGTACAGAATTTATAACTGTTCAATAATGCTATACCATTACACCACACACCTTAAACTTTTTCCATTTTTCCACAATTCCTCCCCAAATCAGCTTCCAAAGCAAAGCAATGTAACACGAAAAGTTCCTGGGAGGGCTTATTACAGAAAAGAACAGCTTGAATACAAACTAAACTATACACATATCCATCTTCTGTTCAGCTTGTTTATCCCTCCTCTCCCTCCATCATTCCTAAAGGTGGGTGCATGTGAATAATGGAAAGAGAAGGCTCTTCCATCACCCCACCCTCCCAGCACTTCTGCTTTAGGTCCTCTGACAGTGAGTCTGTGTAGGTGATGAAAACCATAACAGAAGAGAAGCTGTCCCTTTAAAATGCCCTACTCTGTCCCATATCCCACGTGGAACCAACATCAGCAGCACTTTCCCATTAACATCAATGTTATGCGTAAGTTATCCTTTTATATAGATAAAGCCAGAAAACCTCAGCCCAACATTCCTTAGAGAGGATGAACAGGTGAAGCAAACGTGTCAGGAAGAAGAAACCAAATCCCCAACCCTCCCCAAAAGGTACTCCAGTCTTGCACTCCAGTGGCTCAGGGCAGTATCACCGCTCTATCCCTCCTTTGAAGAGCCCGGTTTAAAGAAGGGAGGAAGCCACTAACAAACCCTGAAGCACAAACGCGACGAAAATGCGATCTGAAGCCGGAAAGGTTTATTCTTCCAATCACACATATTAACTCTATTAAGAAAATGGCATCACTTTCTTTCCACTAAAAAAAAACAAACAAAAAAACCCCCCAAAACCCCAACAACCCACCCAAACCTCGTAAAGATCATTAAAAAGGAGTTACAAAATAGCAAATATGGTGTTTATCTTATCTCAGATCAGTCCACATTACCAATAAGATTAGTAGTTTCTGCACCACCACCTCCCCCCTCCCTCCCCCTGCTCCTCTAGCATCGGATTTTCACGTTTTCTCATTGTCGGTTGAGTTATAAAAGGCTTTTGCTCTCCGAAAGTTTTAAAAAATAAATAAATATTAACTCCTTGGTCTCTGCAAAGTCAAAATGGACTTCAAGGGAAAGGCGGTTCATACTTTTACCTTTAGCGAGAAAAGGGGGAGCATCCCGGATTTTTAGGGATTTTTTTGCGATTTTTAAAAAATTTTTATTTGGTTATATGCCTGAGTTCTCCCTCCATTTTGGTTGTTTATGATACTGACAACAAGCTGTCCCTGCTCTGTGCCGATCTCCTGCTTTCATTTAGCACCCCCTCCCCCTCCCCCCTCGCAGCCACACACCCCGGGCTCACACCTCCCCGCAGACCCCGCACCCCGACCCCGACTCGCCCACCTGAGGAAAGGGCAAAAACAAATTCATTTCTCCAGAAAAGAAAAACCTCTTTTGAAAAAGGGGCAAAGTTACCCCAAGTCACTCAAAGTGCCCCCCAAATATTGCCGACTGCGGGTTTCCGCCAGGCCCTTTGGGAGGCGACCTTCCTCCGGGATGTTTTGGTGGAAAATGCGGAGAGTTTACTCTCAAAACTGAATTTATATTAATTTTTCCCTTATTTTTCGGGTCTCTAATGTCTTCCGCTCTCGCTGCTGCCGCTGCCGCTGTCACAATATTCACAGCACCAGAGAGGAGGAGGAGGAGAGGAGGAGGAGGAGGAGGAGGAAAACTTTTCAAACTTTCCAGACCCTGCATAAACTTTCTTTTCCCACCGACCTCACCTTCGGGTCCCCAGCCGCAATGCCCCCGCCCTGTCAGAAGCGACTCCGAGTGCTCGCAGCCCCGCTTCATGATTTTATTCTATTTTTATTATTATTTTTCTCTCTGGGGTCCTGAGCAGGGGCTGAGAGTAGCACAGACTTTGCCTCCTCCTGCCGCCGCCGCTGCTCCTCTGCCCCTTCAGCGAGTCCCATAATTTAAATAACCCTGATATTTCTCCCGCTAAGCGCCTCTCCACCGCCCCGGACCCCGGGAGAACTCACCGCGGGGCTTTAACATCCTCCCTCCGGCCCGTCCGCCGCCTTTACACCGCCCGCGGAATTTCTAATAATTTTTTTCTCATATTTCGGGCTGGACGCGGCGGGCCTGGAAATTGTCTCCTTACGCCTCTTTCCAGCAGCCATTGTAGTGTATGCGCTGCCCCTGCAGCCCAACTTGCAGCTGCCGCTGCTCGCCGCCGCCGCCGCCGCCGCCGCCGACGTCGCGCCCACCGCCACCTCCCCCGGCCTGCTCGGCCACCGCCCCCGCCTCCCGGCGGCCCGCCCCCGGCCCCCACCCGCCGCTGTGTCCGCCCCCTATGCTCGCTCCGCCCCAGGGCCGACCACTCGGCGCCGCTGCCGCCGGGGCCCCACCTTCTTGTTGGTCGAAGGTGCTGCCCATCAAGCCGAAGTATTAAGAAGCCGGCCGCGGCGCGGGGGGGGGGCGGGGGGCGGGAGGGGGGGCGGGGGGCGGGAGTGGGGCGGTTCCATGCGTTCCTCCCCGCCCACTCCTCCCGCCTCGGCCCTCCTCCCGCCTGTCGGGGGCGCGGCGAGGCCCGCCTGCCCCTGCCGTGCAGAGCCTCGCGCGCCTGTCAGTCTGGCGGCGCCACACGCCGATTGGGCAGGCGGCAGCGGGGCAGCGGGGACAGCACGTTGGGATGCGCACTACTTAAGGTCCTGCTGCGTGAACTATTGACGTGTTTGGAACTGGAGGCTGCCTGGCGCTAGCGAGGCGTCTGCCCGAGGTGAGTGGTCCCCCCGCCTTACGGCGCTCCGCGGCGACTACGGGAAAGCCGGAGGAGCGGGGCGCACCCGGGCCGCCCGCGGGGTCCAAATCCACGTTTGCGGCTCAAAGACTCTCCCTCCAGGCCTCGCCTGGCCGCGGCGCGAGCCTCTTCCTGTTGCTTCTCTGGCCACGCGGGTCTTTTTGGCCGGAGGTAGGAAAGGAAGGTGATCTCTGCCCGGTCCGAACACCCTCGGTTTTTCTTAACCCTTCTCTCCAGCCTTTGAAGCTATTGCAATCCCCCCGTTTCCGTTTCCCGAGTTTTTCTGGTCCCCCGCCTGTCTTCCTCGAAGGGCCAAGCTAGTTGTGTTCACCTGTGCCCGCTGTCCAAGATCAGACGCTGACTGGCAGCACCGCGTCCGGCCGCGCGGCCTCAAGCCTGAGTCCGTCCGGTTTCTCCTTAGGACTCCCCGCTCACCAATGCGCACCCTCCTTTCCCCGGCCCTGTGCAGCCAGCAGGGGGTTAACGGCCTCCGGTGTTTCTGCTTCACGATTTAACGCAGACCCTGCCTAGGCTCAGAGTAGCCAGTGGGCATGGACGTGTTCAGTGAGGGCCCGTTTCCCCTTCCTCTTCAGAGCCACTTGACGATTAGGACCGTGAGCAGCTGTTTGAGAAATCAAGAACTATGTTAAGCGTATTGCACGTTAGAGTGCATTTTGGAGTTATGACTCAGATGTGCAGGAGTTTTGCAGCCCTTCTCTTAATTTGTGTGTGTGCGTGTGCGCGCGCGCGCGTGTGTGTGGTTTCTTTCTGGCTATCCTCCTGGAAGTATAGAGCCTTGTAACTGTTGGGTAGTGCTATCTATACCTTCAGAGAGTAAGTAGATATGCCCTCTTTAGTGAAGCGCTTGGTCTTATCCTTCTGCCTTGTTTCTTGCTGTAAATTGACATTCCCTTCTTTTCCAGTTCATACATAGGAATTCATGCAAAGGAGGTGACATTCGAAAATTCAAACTTAGAGTTGTATTTCGAATCTGGAAGGAAAATGAAATGCGAATAAATTCATGCAAGCAAGCATGATCTGGGTGTATGTAAGGTTATCTAAGTGTCGTTTTTAAACAATTTGACTAATACAGAATCAGATACCTTCATGTAAAGCACAGGACTTCAATTCTGTGTCTGATGGTTGTTGAGATTATTATAGACAAGGTGTATAAACACCTAAGCAGAGGTCTGTGTTCTCATATCACAGAATAGTTGGGAAAAAAGGCTGTAAACTTAATGCCTTAGAGTCAAGCCTGCAAAAGAAGTGTGTTCCTGTGAGAAAGAAGCTTCTAGATGGAATTGAACAGCGTCTTCAGTTTCCTTTCTGCCAAGATGTTTCTGTTGGCTGGGTATGTGCATGTGGTGTTCAGTAAAAATTATGACATGAAAGGATGAGTGAGTACTAAAACTTAAGGAAGCCTCTGAATAACCAAAACCCTTTCCATTCTTCTTTGCAGAGATTAGTCTCTGTTAGCCAAGTATTTCCATAATAGAAGCAATTGATCTGGGTGACTTGATTGAGAATACCTTCTTTTATCGGGGCTTATGGAATTTTATTGTCTTAAATACACTTTCTTTTAACACAGTTGATAAGTTTTATGATCCCAGCTTGGACAAGGAAAGTTGAAGCCATTTCATACAAAACTTTTGACCTCTGGTTATATTGTCCAGTGCATTTTTTTATTCAGTAAATTGTTGTAGGCCATATTACATTATTTGCCGGGTATTCCTTTGATCTTTAGGTAGAAAACTGATCAAGCTGGAACAGGATTTGGGAATATAAGCCCCGTCAACTCCTTAAATTTAGCCCAGAGCATTTTAAAGTATAATGTGTAGTTCATCAATAGTATTCTGATACATTGAAACCCTCCCAAAAAAGAAAAGTCACTTGAAAATAACTTTTTTGATCGTTGTTTTTAAATTTTCTCTTACAGTCTTTTCTATGGCTTTTTTTTTTTTTTTTTAAAAAGAAAAGTCATACAAGTTGTAGTTGCGCTTCATTTTGAAAAGCAATTGTTCTGGAATATGGTTGACATATTACATGAGTAGATGACTTGGATTAACTGGTTCTTATGGAACTGATCGTCTGTAATCAATAAACTTGGAAAGATATATTACTAAGTTTTGAGTTGGAAAATGACAGTAGCATTCCCTGACTTCATTTAACCCAAGAAATTACCAGTTAAATTCAAGAGTAAATAGAAGATGTAAATATAGAAATAAAAGAAGTAAGTAGATGTAAATAGAAGTAAATTTTTACTTATGTTTTAAACTCTGGGACTTCTCAAAATGTCAACTAAGTAATAATTTAGCTTTTTGTTATATCGACTACTCTAGTGTTGGCCAAGGGCAAGTGCTGTGTAACTTTAGTTGATAAATGTTTTTGCTAAAGTCATAATGTACTAAATTGCTTATTTTGTGTGTGCTGATCACAATTCTAAGAAATACTAGATTTTGTTAATCTAGTTAAGAAATGAGAGTAAACTATACCTGAATTACGGTCGAGTTATCATACTGAACATTACAATCAAGTTTGCCCTTTGTGTTGAGGTACCCTAGCAACACAAAGGAGAAACACACCTAAGTCAGTACTTAAAGTGCAGAGGATACATGAAGTTTTTTTGCTAGGTCATCATTATGCTAAAGCTAAAGTTTTTAAGTACTTTCAGGGTTAATGAGATTTTAAAATTTATTTTCTGTTATACATTGCCTAACACTTTTTGTTCTGTCTGTCTTCAGTAAGAAGACTGAGGATGCCTCTGGTGACAAAACAACTGAGAGATCCTGACATAAATCCTTGCTTGTCGGTAGGGGAGTTTGCTGTTCATTTTCATTTTGGGGGCATCTGTCTTCTGCAGGTGTTGAATAAAGTTATTGTTGTTAAAAAAAATGCTTGGCCAGCACATTTTATTCCACTAGAGCATTTTTAGATGTTCATAATTTAGGTAACAAAGTTTCTTCTTTAGTTTTGTTTATTTGCATATATTAAGTTGTCACTGTAAAACTGTACAAACATAACACTTGAGAAAAATCTTTAATCCAAAAATTGAAAACTGGAAGTACCTCAGTTTTAAATTACCACTAAGATTTGTACTTTTAATAGCAATAATTTCATCATTTCCTTGAGATAACCTGGCTAAGAGTAATAGGCTGATAAATAAAATTAACCTATTTTAAGCCTAAAGATTTTCACAAAGGTATCTTATAAATAGAGTAAGTTTTTATTTGCATTAATTTGAATCACTTGCAAAACTTTCTTGTGGCTTCGTTGTGAGGAATTGTACTCCCCAATCCTATATGCATTTGTCAAAAATAAATACTCATTAAACATTTGGTATAGAAATTCAACTTTGTTCGGTATATTAAAATCAGCTTTCACCAGCTTTATTAAATAAATCTGTTAGATAGAATATGTTTCTGAGATCTGTGAAGCAAATTACCTGCTGTTTATTTAAAGCTTTCTTTTGCACAGTGTTTCATAATCATACCTTTCACTTTGAAGTTTGTTATCCAATCTGCTTCCAGTTTAGACAGTTTAAATTTTATTCTCAAATGATACCTACTCTTCTAAACTAGCCCTGTGTTACTCAGTTTGGTTTAAAATGGTATTAATAACTATTAAAATTGTTTACATAATATTGTACTTACTTGTGTAACAGAGTAAATAATAGCCAAAAATGCATTAAGATGAATGGTGTTAATTCAGGTTTCCTTGATGTAAACCACTTATTAGCAATTTACTTGGAATCTGGAAGCAAGCATTAAAATCAAACATCAAGTTAGAATGAGAATTAGGGAAAGGCAGCAGAACTGCAGTGTGAGTTGGAATACTGGTTTCTGAATCTGGATGTGCAGCAGTGATTTTGAAACATATTATGTCTTGCTTCACTTTCTGGATCAAATGATCACAGGCAGTGCTTTGGCTCAAATTCCTTTGATCAGATGTTTAGAAAACTGGCTGAGTATGAAAAGGAAGATGTCTACCTCAAAAGAATGAATTATGAGATAGTTGGCAAGGTTATTCAATTTTTATTAATCTACCTATTAAAATGAACAAAAATGAACAGTTTCACATTATGTTTAGCTTTAGGAGGAAAGCAGCTTCAGAAGTTTGTTTTTAGTCTGTTTTAGATCTCATTCTATGTTGTAAATGATTACTCTTAACATTTAAGGAGACTGATGCTTCTGCCAGATGTATGGCTGAAAATAACTATAACAAGGAAAGGTGTTCCAGTTGTTTCTTGAAGTACAAAAACTGCCGGAAATTCTGGGTAAGCCTAACTTGGTGAGCTTCCTGTTAAACCTGTCTCGAAACTGAGGCCTAAGATTAGTCTTTCCCAGTGGTGGCCATAGGGAAACAACTTTTCAGCCTTCTCTGTGTGCTATTGTAGCCCTAAAGAATCCTTGAGAGTTTTTTGTTGTTTTCTCCAGCTCTAAGGTATAGGAAGGCAGTTTTAGTATAAATGAATCCTCCTGGGTATCTGTAGCCCTAGAGCAATCTCCTTAACCTTGTTATATATAACACAGTGTAGGTAACAGTATAATGTTGGGTAACATAATGTAGGTAACAAAGATTCACATACCACATTAGATTTTCATTTCTTGCCTTCTTATTGACATCATGATAATTAAAATGGTCCTCCTTTTCTCAAGGCATTGATACATAATTTCTGTTTCTCTGAGGGCTGTATCCAGCTACTTCTTTTCCCTTTGCTAAATGGACTGTTGCTTTATTTAGCAATTACGCAGTAGCTATATATACATTCTTGTACTGTTGTACTTCTATAGTATTTCCTTGTCCCAATTACTGTTAACATGTCTGTGGGAATAAATGTTAATAGTTTGAAACATTTACTTAAACTCCCAGAACTAGGTTTTAGATTTCTTAAGCTGGATTTTTAGAATTTTCTTTTTGAGAAACAGTAGCAAATTACTGGAAAATTATATACCATTTAGTACTTGAGTGATTCTGGTTTCTTTTATTCTTACACACAGAATTCTATCATGGTCCAAAGAAGACAGAATGGAGTGAAGCCATTTATGCCTACAGCAGCAGAAAGAGCTGAAATCTTGGGAGCAATGGGAAAGATGCCCTATTGAATGTTTGCATTAAAATTTATGATATAACTAGAAGCAGGTGAATATTTTTTAGAAGTGATTACTGTAATGTTTTTAAGACTTGTCTGGCCTCACCCAGACAGATTTTAAGTTTTACAAAGAGACAGAATTCAGTTAGTCATGCATCATTGATATTTGCTCTCAGTGCCATCATGATATGTCACTGCCATGCTGTACCTAGAAGGCTAGGGGTATTAGAGAACTATAGGAGTTGAATTCCTCCTCTGGGTCTCAAAAAGAAAAATATGGACAAATAAGACTTAATAGGGTTGACAGGAAGCAGTGTTTCTAAGGAAAGAAAGTGATGTGAGCATGGACATGATAGAAAGCATGACACATTTGGAGCATCTAGACTGTTCTACCTAATGTCTAAGTGGATCCCAGCACTCTGGGAACTTGAAGCAGGACTGTATGTTCAGGCTCAGCCCGGGAAACTTTAACTTTGTGAGATACTGTATCAAAATTTAAAAAATAAAAAGGCCCGAGGATATGAGTGAGAAGGTCCTGGGTTCAATCCCCAGGAAACGACACCCCCCCCCCAAATAGAACTTAAAAAGATCAGACCTCCCAGATTTAAAGACCCAATCCGAAAATGGGCATCTGAAATGAACAGACTTTTCTCAGACAAAGAAGTGAAAATAGCAAATAAATACATGAAAAAATGTTCAACATCACTGGTCATT